TCGTTGTATGCCAGAAAACTCTTCACCAACGAAAATCAATGAAAATGATAGTTCAGGAAAAAATGACTGAAACATAAGGGTTTGTCACACCAGCTGCAGTAGATAAAAGGAGCTGCATCACATGGAGATACGGCGCATATTGTAGCGTCAAACGAAAAGCACACATCGGGCACGGTTTTGAAAGGACTTGGATGATTGTCCGTGTAGCCACTCGCATACCAAGCATACTGAATCATTGGACGAAAAACTTCGGAACAGAGTTGATTATGAGTAAGAGACATGAGGCGGATGATGTTATTCTGTTCACTCATGTTGATGTCTAGTTCGTCGAGCAGCACGCGATCGTGTAGTCGACGAGGGATTACTTTCATTTGTCTGTTGAAAAAGACATCCAATGGTTGAATTGGTTAAACCCAATGGTTGAAAGACAATAACCTGAGTGTTTGAGTCAAGTATACGGCATCTGACCTCATTCGATAGAGTAAGATATCCTCATGTTCTTTTTAAATAACTAGCTTTTTTTATTTTGGTTTGACTCATTGTCAATCATTTTTTTTGTATTCTCCACTGACATACCATCATGCCTGCTTGATAAGTACGGCGTGCTCGTGTCCAATGTGTACATTTGTCTAGTTACTTTCTCCTTCTGTTCTTCTCTCTTCCATGCTTAATTTGTGCCATGGGATTGGTTTTCCCTTCATTCGATGATGTACTATATACAAGTAACGTACAAACGAACAGTTGTTATCAGTTTTTCTTTCATAACTTTAAAAATGATTAATCCAACTAATGGCGTGAAGATTTTCGGTGATCGAGTATCCAACTTATTGTCTCCTACGACGTCGAACACCTCGACCGTCACCATTACTACCACAAATCGTGAATGCGAAGTAGCCGAGCTATTGTATGGTGTGCTAGAATCGATCACCAACAGTCACTCCCACACTTTCGAAGTTGAATCAACTCTCGATCATGATTTAGCGGATGACGAATTGTTCAACGATGCGGGCGACGAAGATACCACTCAAGAAACGTGGGATCCTAGCTGGAACGAAGATGACGAAGACGACGACAAGGCACTGTGCAAACAATTCTCGCTTGATTCCATGACCACGGCGGTCAACTTTTATGACGAAATCAATCCACATACCGGGAAACGAAAGCGACGATGGGAGACCGTGAAGCACAACTTCCAACGTATCTCGCATCAGATCTATCTCTCCCGCTTTCGCCGTTACCTTGAAAAACATGGCACCAAGAAACAGAAGCTCGACAAAATTAATGATTATGTGTTTAACATGTTCGAGCGTGCTCTGGAGAAAGGCCTACCAGTGCACGATATAGATCTACGTCGTCGGGCTCTTAAAAAACCTATGGATGAGTCTCTACACAATTTTGTCGCTTCAAGTTACTTGCTGCTCACCTTTAAACACAAACACAATATTATATCGCGCAAGATAACGAAGGTAAGAGATTTATGATCATTTTTTTATGAATGTGTGGGAGGAACCAGTCTTTTTTCGAATTAGATTAACATGAAAAAGTAGTTTTTACGAGTTTTAGACTTGCTGATTTTTGAAAACTTTTGACTTCTCCAGAATTGTTTGATCTCAAACTTACTAAAGTTCTTTGTTCGCTGTAGGCTGTGACGAAGTGCTATGCAGAAGGTAAAGAGAAGATCAAAGCTTCCGCCGATCAGTTCGTCGCTGATGTTCGCCAACCTTTACCACAATATCAAGTTGACGAAGTCATTAACACAGATCAAAGTGGACTTCAACTTGAACTACACTCTACTCGAACATTGAGCCATAAAGGGGAGAAGGTAACAATTGGGTGCGTCCGCTCTATAAACGCCACTACTCACAGCTATACAGTGCAGCCAACAATCACACTTGCTGGCCATCTCCTCTCGCCGCACTACCTCTGCTTACAGGAGCCTAAAGGACACATAAGTGAGAATATTCGCTCACATCTTTCAAGGCCTCGAATATGGTGGTTACGTGCAGCAGTTCTGGAAAACTCACAACATCTTTGGTTGAGTACTGGCGCGATCATGTACTCCTGCCATCACTCGGTCAACGAAAGAAGTTTCTACTGATATCGGACTGTTG